AGTCAGATTTTTAAAAATCTTTCCTATCACCATAGAACATTTAAACAATAGTCAGTCCAACAAATCAGAAATATAACTCAAAAAAGTTTTCATCATCTTTTTAATGAACCTAATTCCATTTTAAGATTGGGAGCCATCTCGTCACAAAATCATGAAAAGTTAGTTTCTGTTTTACTATAAATTACTGCAATTTCTAAACTTGCTTGGAATACCTGCCTGTGCCATGAACTCACCCATGCCTGGTTTTCCCTGACCAGATAACTACCCTCTCTGAAAACTTAGTGGCACCTCATAAATTCTGGCTTTCCCTGACCAGATAACAACCCTCTCTGGAATCTTAGTGGTGCCTCATAAATTCTGATGTTGGGATCTAAATTTACTCCCTAAGTGTTGAACCATTTAGACCATTAACCTACTACCTGCCTTTGTATTTTGCTTGTCAAAATCCTGTTATCTGTAAATTCTCAAGACACTCCCCTTTTACAACTTTTTGTGCTATAAAACTGCACTCCTAGAGAACTGACTACTGTCTTCTAACCCAAGGATTTCAGGAGAGGCAGTCCCAGCTGGTCGGAATTACAAGCTTGCTTTAATTTGATTTAAAATTGGAGCCAGTAGTCTTTTCTTTGCATCTTGGTTTAACACTTTTTCTACTCATTGTTTCCCCCTTTAATGCAAACTACAGGATAAGACCTCTTCTGTAGACCTAGAGAATCACTAGGACAGAAATCAGGAGGACTGACCCCCAGGAAAACTTAATGGATAATACAATGATATGTTTAGAAAGCATTAAGAAAATCTAGTTAGAAAATTACATACAGAAATAGATAATTATATATATAAATTATGTATATAAATGAAACAAGACAAATATGCAAAGTCATGTCTTTAGAAAAGGAAATGAAATCATTCTTTTCTATTTGACAATGCAGTAAAAAAACATTTACACCATCATAATGATATGAAAATTTATTATTGGCTTATCAAAAAATGATGGGGAAGCCAGGTGTGGTGGTGCATGCCTACAATCCCAGGGACTTGGGAGATTGAGGCAGGAGGATTTAAGTTCAAGGCCAGCCTCAGCAATTTAGCAAGGCCCTAAACAACTTTGCTAGATCTTTCTCAAAATAAAAATTAAAAGGGGCTGGGATGTAGCTCAGTGGCAAAATACCTGTGGGTTCAATCCCCAGGACAAAAAAAAATTATGGGGAAAGTTGGATGCCAAATCTTCATCTACAAAATTGTCTATTAAAATAAGAAGTCAACAGATAATTTCTAAAATTGATTTAAAAAAAAAAAGAAATGACAGTGTTAGCCCACTGTTGAGAAAGATGAAGAGTAGAAGAAACAGATATAAAAAGCTAACTGGGCACACTGTCACACACCTGTAATCCCACTGACTAGGTATGCTGATATAGAAGATCACAAGTTCAAAGACAGTCTTGACAACTTAGCAAAACCGACTCAATATAAAGAATAAAAAGGTCTAGGGATATGGTTAAGTGGAAGAACAATCCTGGGTCCTGTGTTCAATCCCCTGCATATGCACACACAAAGCTAAAAATACTTGCCTTGGAGAAAGGGACTCAATATTATTTGATTTTTTTAAACTTACATATTTGTGATATTGGTTTAAAAATTATTTATTGCAGTTGTCTGAATAACACCCCCACCTGAAGATGTTCATGTCCTAATAACAAACTTATGAATATGTTATTTCACAAGAAAAAATGATTTGCCAGATGTGATTAATGATCCTAAGATGGGGAAACACTCCTGGATCATCTGGTAAACCCAATGCAATCACAATAGTCCTTATAAAAAGGAGGTAAGAGGTTGAGTCACAGAGGAAGTGGGATGACAAAAGCAAAATAACACTGATGAGATTGCTGACTTTGAAGATAGAAGGCCAGGTAAGGAATATCTGCAGCTTCTGGAAGCTGGAAGAGGCAAAGAATAGATTCTCCCCTAGAGGGAACACCAACCTGTTTAATACTTCTGACTCCAGAGCTATAAAATAATATATTTGTTTTTGTGTTGAGCCACTAAATTTGTGCTAATTTGTTACAGTAGCAATAAGAAACTAATATATTTATTTAGAAGATAAAAACACTAGTGGAAAGAATGTTAGATAAGAAAAAATAAAACATGCTAAGACATGAAATTATAGAAACCTTCTGTGACAGAGTAATTGGAAATGAAGGAATTACTTAATCTGAATGACAAAAGAATGACAATTTTAATATACTTATATGCTTGAACTTCTATGGTGATTCCTTATTATGCTTTAGGACAAGGTTAGGTAACTTAAAACTACTCACAAGTCAATGCATTGCCACATTCTAATATTATTCATCACATGTACTTTTCATTATTCCTACCTCCTTTTTTTTTTTTCATTCTTCTGTGTATCTTTTACTGTCACTTATAATTCTATTGGTGCAGTTACCTGGCTCCCAATTCAGTGAATCTATCACATCCTGGAATGATCCCTGTATCAGTTGAGGTTTCCCAGGGAAACAAAACCAAACACACACACACACAGACACACATACCATGAATTGGTTTATATGATTGTAGCAACTGGCAAATCCAAAATGCATAGATCCATTGTAGCAACTGGCAAATCCAAAATGCATAGATCCATAGGGCAGGCTGAAACTCAGTTGTATTCCAAGATGACACTGCAATCTGTTTTTTTTTGGTTTTTTTTGGTACCAGGGATTGAACTCAGGGGCACTTAACCTCTAAGCCACATCTCCAGGCCTTTTTTGCATTTTTTTTATTTAGAGACAGGGTCTCTCTGAGTTGCTTAGGGCCTTGCTATGTTGCTAAGGCTGGCTTTAAATTCACAACCCTCCTATCTCGGGCTCCCAAGTCAGTGGGATTATAGGCACACACCACCACACCCAGGTGACACTACAATCTTGAGGCAGAATTTCTTCTCCAGGAAACTTGCTTTTACTCATAAAAGCCAATTAGGGAGGTCCAGCCACACCATGGAGGATAATCTCCTTTTCTTCTTTTTTTTTCTCCCATTGGTACATTTTAATTTTATAGAATAATAAAGTTTCATCATGGTATACTGGTACATGTAAATAACATACTTTGATCATATCCATTCCCCTTTACCTTCTCTTACCCTCCCATCCTCATTCCTCTATCCCATTCCTCTTCTCCCCTTACTTTCATGCCTCTTTCCCCCTAGATTCCACATGAGAAAACATGTGATACCTGTATTTGTGTCCCCCAAATTTCTCTTAACATTATGATCTCCAGTTCCATGTTTTCCTGCAAATGATGCGTTTATTCTTTTTATGGCTGAATAATATGCCAGTTGTGTGTATGTACCCATTTTCCTTATCCATTCATCAAGGCACCTAGGCTGAGGTAATCACCTTAAAGTCAACTAATTGTCTTTTTTTTTTTTTAAGGTATTAGTCACTGTGCAAAATCCCTACACAGAAACATCTTAATTAGGGTCTGTTATGTTTGGATATGAAGTGTCCCCCCAAAAGCTCAGGTGAGACAATCCAAGAGGATTCAGAGGAGAAATGATTGGGTTGTGAGAGCCTTAACCCAATCAGTGAATTAATCACTGATGGGATTGAGTGCTAATTGAAGGTAGGTAGGATGTGGCTGGAGGAGATGGGACACTGGGGTCATGGCTTTGGGGTTGGAGGTATATATATTTGTATCTGGCAAGTGGAGTCTTTCTCTGTTTATGGATTACCAGGTGAACTGCTTCCCTCTGCCACACTTTTACACCATGATATCTTGCCTCACCTTGAGCCCCGAGGAATGGAGCCTGTTGTCTATAGACTAAGACCTCCGAACCCATGAGCCTCAAATAAACTTTTCCCTCTCTAAAATTGTTCTGGTCAGGTCTTTTAGTTATAGCAGTGAAAAAGTTGAGTAAAACAGGGTCTGATTAAGTAACTGGCTATATAATTTAGCCAAGGTGACACATAAAATTAACCATGAAGTTCTCCATTTTTGATGGGTAGATGGCAGTTCTCATATATTTGTGCTCTATAACTGTCTCCTGGCTCAGATGGCTGGTCCAAAGGGACACATGACTCATAAAAAACACTCAGAGCCACGACTCAGGATCTGCTAAGGATACAGGGGGAAGGGGTCAGCAACATTTAGCCTTCTCTGGCATGGTGGGAACCATCAGGTAAAAATTGGAAGGTACCAATGGGCATACGGACAGAGGAAACTGGAAGAATAGTAAGAAAAGATTCATAGAGTCCTGGAAGCAATTATCAATGGAAACCAGATGCACTCCTTCACTGTCAGTGTTTTATGAATTATTTCAATTTTATGATCTATTCCATCATTCCCCCCCCCCCAATCTTTTCACCCCTGAAGTACTAGGGATTGAACCCAGACCTTTTGAAGACAGGATATTGCTCATTTGCTGAGGCACCTTGATCCTGTGACCCTCTCAGCCTCCTGAGTGGCAGGGATTATGGTGTGTGGATCACACCCACCCTCATTATTATCATTAGTTTGTTTTGCAGTGCTGGGGATAAAATCCAAAGCTTTATGCCTGCTAGGCAAGTGCTCTACCACTAAGCTACATGCCCAGGCCCCTCCCTCATCATTGATAAGGATGTTTCCCTTATCATTCCTTGAATTAGTTTAAGCTGGATTTATGTCATATGCAACCCAAACAGGGGAAAAAAACATGTTATCATTGTGCTACACACAAATGTTCGTATTTCCCTCTCCATCCGGGCATGTGATTTGGTTACCCACTTTGAATAAGCATAACATGTGATTTGCTTTGTCAACAAATTATGAGTAGAAGTATGTCACTTTAAATCTTACATCATAAAATTTGTCAGGTTCTTCTATCTACAGTGATTGGTGCCTCCAACAGCTGCCTCCTAATTATGTAAACTGTATATTTAGCCTAGCAAGCAATAAGTTTTTGTGATGTTAAGTCACTCAGATTTTGAAGTTTTCTATCACTGCAGTATAACCCAGCTTACCTTTTAATTAAGAGAGAGGGAATTTTTCTTTATAATATTTTCCCAAGGCTCATTCATCCAATAATCAATACTGAATCAATATAAGGAGAATAACAGTACACAAAACAGATGAAGTTCTTCTCTCCCTGGTGAATAAAGGAGGACAAACAATTCCAGGCTTTCCTGAGATTAATGTAAGTATTAAAGGAACACAAGTGGAGGAGTTAAATGATAGTATCCGTGTTCTGAACCACAATGGTTGTACTACTAAGGTTGGTTTTAGAGCAGGAAAAGACTGAACCCATTGAATCTAATCTATATTAATAACAGTAAGGAGGTAATAGCAGCTTGGATTAAGGAAGTGGCAGTAGAAATAGAATGGGATAGATGATTTTAAGCTATAATAAGGAGGAAAATTTAATAGTGCATGATAATTGAGTGGATATTGCAGAATAAAGGAACAATTCAAAGAAAACAGACTCTCTGGCTTTGGGCACTTGGGTATTATCAGTTCAATTAGACATATTGAGTTTGAGCTTAGCACCTATAAAACACAAAAGAAATTTTAGATAGGGAATCCAATATGAGAGTTTCAAGCTTACCAGAAACATCAAAGGACAGTGAAAGAAAATAAACAGTGAAGTATGGTATTACAGAAAACAAGAGAAGAGATTGTTTCAAAAAAGCAAAGAACAATAAGCAGTTTCAAATACTGTTAAGACATTAAGAACTAAGAGGCATCTTACAATAGGGATGATGTTGGTGACTTTACCAAGTATAGTTTCAGAGCAGTGTTGGGGTAAAAGCCTGATTATAAAAGGTTTAAGAGTAAAGTAAAATTGATAAAGTAGAAATAGCAAGCATAGAAAATTCTCTCAGAAAGTTTCTTTTACAACAAAGAATGAGGATTTGAAAAGAAGCTAGAGGGAGGTTATGCATAAGGAAGACATTTTAAACATTTAAAATTCTTATTAAACTTAAGAGAATGCTAATAGCAAGAAACCAGTGAAGAGTGAGAAGCTGACAGCAGAAAGAGAATAACTGATGTAGCAAGAACCCCAAATAGACAAGAAGAGTCAAGATCCAAAATAGAGATTGAATGATAGCCTTGTAACATAAAAAGAATAAGGGATGAAGAGATAGGTATATTTCAAAAATTGTTTGATTACATTTTTCAATTATTATAATAAAATAGAGTATAAGTATAAAAAAGACAGAAGTAATAGGATTTGTTCAAATATCCTACTTATTAGTATTAATACTATTTTCTGTGACTCTCAAGATTCAAACCAAATTTATGGGACCTAAATAGTCATTCATTCTTTTGTAAGATGGTTGGTACAGTGTCTGAAATACAGTAAATATTCAATAAATAGAAAATTAATTCTCCTTCCTTCATTTCTCAATTGTCCCACCAACTTAAAGTATAAAACAAAACATGAATGTGTATAAAATTCATACACATATCCTCCTACATGCCCCTAAAAGTGTCTAAGATGATTTATAGCTTTATTATTTTTTTATTCAGCTAAATATCACAATATAATTTTTATTCATTCCTAAAAATATTTTTGGAGTACGCAGTCTCATACCATGAGACATACAAAGACAAATAAAACAAAGGCTGGTAACCACAGCCTTAAACATAAGAATTGTACTTTAAGATTACAAAATATTGTTTGACTGAATTTTAGAGATTATACAAGTAATCAACAATAATTAGCCAGAAATGCACATATTATAAGTATGTTTTGGTAGAACTGTTATCTGAAGACCATGGTAAAAAGTACAAAATAGTAAAGAGGTAATAACAGATGAGTGAAAGTATGGAACGGTTGTGAAAACAAAATTAAATAACACAAAGTTGAGGCAGCATGGGTCTTACAGATAGTGTTCAAAATTCTAATAACTGAACATGTACTATAACTTTTTTCATCAGTGGTGACAAATTACTATTAACCAACAACTTTGGGGGACCTTATCTGGCCCGAAATAGATCTATGAGGCTATTGTTATTGTTACTAGATTTACAGGTAATGTACTTTCATATAATATTTTTATGAAGTGGCATATGGTAATCTTGTATATAAAAATAAATATGCACACATATTTATATACATAAATATACATATATACATACATGTATATGTACATATACATATATACATACATCTTTCAAAAAAGAAAACCTGAAGCCACCAATCTACTGAAAAAGAAAAAGAAAATGTCATCTACTTTCAGGATGGACACTGGACAACATCACACAGGACTATATATTTCACTATGTATTTCTCATCAGCCAGTGATGCAAATGATGAAAGGCTCACAGGAACATTCATCTCAATGTTTCAAATAAACATATACCTGCATTTCAATTTTATTCTATAGAAGCATGAGTAATGTTACAGACTAATCATTAACTCTGAAACCTGATTCTGACAAAACCACCATACATACCATGTTTTTTCCCAAGGCATATATTAGCTGTGAGTAGCAGTGAACACAGTAACTGTGGTTAGTAAAAATTCCTGTTTTTTGCTTTGGCAAATATATGTGTTACTAAGGTTTGATCATAAATAATAATAAGTAAATTCACAAGTCAAGAATTCTAAGCCTATTATAAATCCGGATTTATCATGTTCTTTGGAGTTGCCTAGGCAGCAAATTTAGAAATGTTCATGAGTTCTATTGTTATTTGTGCCAATTGTTAACATGTAGTTATACTTCTGCTTTCATCTAAGTACCTCAAAGAACTCTTATAGCATTGTTACTTCTTATATCTCTGAGAGGCAGATTGGTAGAAAGTTGTTATTATCTTTATTTTGTAGTCAGAGAAACTAGGGCATAGAAAGGTTAAATGCTTTAGTTAGGGTCATAAGGTGAACAACTAATAAAAAAGGATTCAATTAATTGTTCTCATTTTTAGTTCAGTATATTATCCATTATATAGTTGTTTTTTTAAATATATATTTTTAGTTGTTGAGGACCTTTATTTTATTCATTAATTTATATGTGGTGCTGAGAATCAAACCCAGTGTCTCACACATGTGAAACAAGCACTCTATGACTGAGCCACAACCCCAGCCCTATACAGTTGTTTAATATACCTAATTGTATTTTTCTTTTAGGAAAATTGAGAATAATGTATTTAAATAATCTAAGAACTAAAAGTAACTGAATGGATTTCTTACTTGGTATGTTGGAAAATACTGCTTTACAGGAATATAGAATTCAAAACTAATAGTCTTTGGTTTGCTGCTATAGCTATTATTTATAGTGCCTTTGTTACTTGTAGCTTTCTGAAGCCTCTACTCAAAATGAACTATTCTATTTCTGACTGCATTATGCTAGGTTAGCATAGCTATGAACAACCAAGAAGCAGCTGAGACAGACTAATAAATTCGAGGTTGTCTTTCATAGTGTTCCTACTGCTCACTCTTGAAGTCATCCTCCTTCTAGTTCTTCCTTCAGCAGATATTGGTGCAGCCATCATCCTCAACCCTTGGTCTGCAGGCTAGTTTAAGCTATTGTCAACTATTTAAAATTTATTTATTTATTTAAATACTTGAGATGAATGTAGGGGCCCTGCATAAACACTCTACCATTGAGCTATATCCCCAGCCCTTTTTATTTTATTTTTAGATGGGGTCTTGCTAAGTTGCCCAAGATGGCTTCAAATTTACAATCCTCCTTCCCCAGCCTCCCAAACAACTGGGATTACAGACCAGTAGCATTGTGCCCAGTAGATTTAAAATGTTTTTATTAAAACATCAACATAGACAATATCTCACCTTATGAGTTTATGATGCTATACTAGTTAGCACTGTCATATTCAGTTTCTGGTACACCTGACCTTTTATGGTTCTTAGGCCATTAAGCACAGATTAATGGTCTAAGCATTAGATGGACATGTATCACCACATGGGGATTTTTTTTTTTTTTTAAATAGAGTATTTCATAAAATTTCCCAAGACAAGACAGGGAAGGGGGGAATGGTTTTGAAACTGTGCTCAATGAAGTGAGACTGCAGTCTGCTTGAATGTGGTAATATAAGCCTGTTGTGTTTCTAGCTTCAACCAACATCCTCCCCAGAGCTCTAGACCCATATAGTAACCACCACTAGAAAACCCCAGTCTTACTTCAAACTCACAAAGTCCAAAACTGAACTCATTTTTCATTTTATGCAAAAAAAGAAAAGTGTCCCTGCAACTCATCCTTATCTCATTTGGTGAAATACACCATTATCCTGCCCTTCCATGAGAGCAAAACAAGGTTATTTTCCTTGCCACTTCCATTCTCAACCTCTAGCTGCTCACAGCAATCAACTGATATGATCTCCTACATATTTTAGGACTCCATCTCCTTTGGATGTTGATCACCAGTCACAGGATCCCTATTCTTTCTTTTCTGGTCTAGAGACTCTCTGTTTACCCTACACCAATAAAACAATAACTTAAATTGTAAATCTTTCCAGGGTCATTCCTCCCCCATTGTGTCACAAGGATATATTTAAAAAAAAAAAAAAAAAAAAAAGATTCATGATTTGGCTTGTCTGCTTCTTTTTCAGCGACCCAGGCTTGAACATCGGGACTTGTCACTCAGCCTCCTAAATTATTTGACCCTGTGCTGCATGTCTTTTATTAAGATTTGCCATCTCCTCTATTTATGCTGGAAAACAGCCTATTTAAAAGCTTAAGTTAGAGTTAGTAGGTTCTCTCCTCTATATACCTTGATATACCACAGTTCCAAACATCATTATTTGCTTTCATGTCTGTCATGCCCACTTAACTAGGCAGTCCTTGAATGGGTAAATGCCAAGCATGTAGTTATTACTAAATTTGGAGGGGGAAGAGAAGGGATAAGAGAACAAATAAAGTCAACAGATCTGTTGGGCTAAAGATCTATTTCGAACCTGTGGAAGAACGTAAATTTCAACCGATTTGGTGAAACTTCTAACTTAAGATACTAAGTTGCTGTCGTGAAGCCACAGGAGTATCTCACAGACTACTGACACCACACTTAAAGTGTCGAAGAGGACCCAAGCCCAGTTTGAAAGGAATCACAGACCCTTTGCGGAGGTCAGTTTTCTAGAGGTCAGCAGTTAAATATGAGGCCCATGGCAGCCACCGAGATGACTAACCCACCTCCTAGAAGTCGGCCTGCGACAAGGAAAGTCCCTGGATTCACTCTGGAAAATGCCGGCCACAGAACACAGCAGCCTCTACCCTAATAAGCCTGGGGAGAAGGGGCTACCCCCAAGAAGCAAGATGGCGGCCTCCTTCTCCCCTACTCTCCCCGAGAACCTCTTCCTGGTCCCCAGAAAAGATACAAGGACATCTCGGCGCCTAGATCCGGGAACTCCGCGAGGGCCGCGGCCACTCCCGGACCCCCGGGAGATGACTTCACCTCGTAGGGCGCAGAGGTCCGAGGGTGGAGCCGCCCCAAAGAAAGCCAGACCGCCCTCAGCAAGCAGAGGGCGGAGGCAAGCTAGCCTGAACCCTCCATTCCATTGTTCTTAGTCCCTGGCCAGCAATTACCCTCCTCCGCGCCCGCGGACAGGAAGTCGCTCCCCCTCCGGCTCCGCCCCACTCCCCAGCGCCCCGGAAGTGGTCTGCGGCTGCTACTGCAGAGCGGCCAGGAGGAGGGTGGATCTCCCCAGAGCGGAGTGCCGGAGTCCTCCTCCTCCACCAGCCGCCCGGGCTCTGCCGCCGCTCGTCAGACTCTTCCTTCTGCCGCTCCCGGCGTGGAGCTTCCCAGACAACAAGGGCCGAGTACCCTCCAGCCAGAGAGGCTAGCGCACCCGCGGCTTCGGGAACCGGCGGGGCGGCGGACCGGCTCGCGGTGCAGGTGAACGATGCCCGCCCGGGCCGCCCCGGGTGGGGCTGGGGCCGCCGTGGCGGCGGCGGGGGTGTGTCCGGCGGCTGAGGGCTGAGGCCCAGGCGTAGCGTTCCGCTGCCGAGATTGCTCTTCTGTGTTCTGCTCTGGGACGAGTGCGGGGCGAGCTCCGGCTGGAATCCCGGACGCCGCGTTCGCGGATGTGCTGTCGAGTGCGCCCCTGAGACTAGGAGGCTGTGGCGAGGTCCCCTGAGCCGGGAAGCTCGGAGTTGGCCTCTTCGGAAGGTCACCCCGCATCTCTGGTCCGGGGCTGAGGTCCCCTCCCGGGCGGTGCCCGCGACCTGAGGGGACTCATCGCCGCCGCCGCAGTCCCCGCACCTCACTCCACCTCTTTTCTCCTTCCCTTTCTTTCCACTCCTTGTCCGTACTAGAGCAGTTGGTTTTAAAGCATCTCGGCCAGGGTTTTGTGCCAGTTGAAGGAATGGTTTTTTTAGACTGAAGTCGTTAGATGCTCTTTTCTGAACGGAATAGCTGGCTTCGGGCTGTTGCACAGCTGTAGCCTATCTATATTAGGATAACCTAGCCTCTAAAAGGAGGAAAAGAATGTAGGCATTTTGGGTGAGGGATGTTCCTTATGTGCATCGTTCCTGAAAGATTTCCAGAAGTGGAAGATGAGATTTGTGTGCTTTTGCCTAGGTGTGTGTGTGTGTGAGAAAGAGTGGGCGGGGGTGACAGCGCTCAGAGGTGGTAGTGTTGTTTCAAGGTTTAGGGGGAATTAGAGAGTTAACTGGCCTTTGCTTGGAAACCTGAATGTCCAGACCTGTGAGAGCTCATCCAAGTGTCATTGAAGCTGTGTGAGAATTCCAGTGCCACGCCCTACCTGTCAAACTGAAAAGCACCTAATTTACAAATAGTTTGATGTGTGTCTGGAAAAACCTTTCTAAAACACATGTCATAAGTTATTACTTTCCTGGAAATAAATTATAACTTTATGTTCCAAAAATTGGATAAAAAATTTCATTAGTAAACTCTTCATGATGGAAGGCATTCCCTTTAACTTTTGTCTTTTAATGTATTTAAATGTATCTTATTAGCTTATGTTTTTGTCTCAGTAAGTTATTATGAAATGACTCTTGTGACTCTCAAAATTTTGTTTTTAGACCTTGAATTTTTCAGGGCAGGAGCCATGTCTTACTCATGACTGTGTTTCCATGCAGTGTGCCTAGAACACCAAAGATTTTCACACATTTCTGCACTGAGTGATTGAATGCCTAAGTGATCTCACAGTTACCTTCCAGATGTCATTTATTTTGTTAGATTAGGATTTTTTGTTTTCTTTTGTTCATTTCAGGTTTTTGGTACATACAGATTTTGCTTTGTCGGTATATTCTTCATTCAAGAACGATTCAGAAAGAATTCTTTGCCTTTCAATACTCAATCCTTTCCTGAAAGGTTCAGTTATATTTGGGGGATTTTGATTGGGCAATATAACTTGTATTCTAGTAGTGTTAAATGCTTACTGCTTGGGCCTATCCAGGTTAGCAGGAAGAGATTTCCTGGCAGTAGGCTGTTAATTTATATGTGGAGTCAATATCCATACTCTGTTTTAATCAAAGAGAGGAAATTGGGAGTTAATATTGTTTGGAAACTGTTATGCATCACAAAATTGCTTATAGTGGCTCATTCTTCCCATGGATACGTGAAATCCTCTGACATCCTGATATGACCTTGATATGATTTACCAATAGCCACTTTCACATTTCTGCTCTGAGATCCAGATGCTGTTCTCTAGTGTCTGCTGAGTGTGCAGTCATCTGTATCATTTATTTTGAAGCAGTACTTCATTACAGCTTTTTTTTTTTTTTTTTTTTTTTTTGGCGTGGCTTTCAGGGAAAAAAAAACACGATAATTATAGGAAAGAATCTTGTCTATCATTTATGAGGGAAGATTTTTTTTCTACAGATGGATTATTTTTACTTTAGGAGATCCAAATAGGATCCAGGTGCCACTGTCTTTCCTCTCCAAGTATCTGTTGATGGTCTTCCACTGGTTTTCCAAGCTCAGTTTCTACAGAACATGAGGGAATGTACCAGTATCACTTTTTACGTGTGGGCCTATCAGTGTTGCACTTGTGTCCTTTTGTAAATGAGTGACAAGGAAAATCACTTGCAAAATACTGGAATAAAAGCTGTGAATATTATTAGGGAAAAGATTGTGATTTTTAAAGAGAGAGGGAGAGATGGGTAATAATTTTATTGTTTTATAAAATGTTTTAATTCTCACAATACAGAGAGAGAAGCCTGCAATTTCTTATCTCAGCAGCATTACCACTTTTTGGAGTTTAGATTTTCCTTCTTTAATTCAATAACCCTCTTGATAATAACAGTTCTCTGTCTCCAGTGTACCTATAAATACAGTGTTATTATGCCCACATGTACAGTTTGTGTGCCATGATGAAAAATATCTGGGCATTGTTCTTCTTGGTGTTCTGATAGAGTATTAGGAACTCCGCTCTGGTTTTTGATTACTGCTTATTTCCTCTGATGTATCTGAACAGTTCTTGTTTGAGGAAAGAACCATACACCTGTTTGTTGTGACATTTCCTTGACATCATATTGTTTTCTGGTTCTTCCACTAATGGAGATGGGGAGAAGTTATGAGACAGAAGGAAGAATGATTAAGGGGGGGGAGGAGAGAGGTGCACTAAGTCTGTTTTTTATCACTTGAGACTATAAGTTATTTTCTCTTTGAGATTAGTATGGAGGCCTAAGGGTTTTAGAGTTGTTTTTAAGGGTCTAATTGTTATTCAGTGCTAGTGGAATTCTCTTCACTCTTTTCAATCCTAGTATTTTTAAAATAAATGCATTGTCAAATGGAGTTAATTTGAAGTATGTGTTCATTTTTTGGTTTAAAAAAAGAAGATAAAGCTCTAAGTAAAAAACATCTTGTTCATTACCTCGCTCCCATAAGTAACAGCTATTTTTTTTCCTTACACACCTTTTTACTACCTTTACTGCATTCAAAAAGATTTGTTTTTCATATATATATATATATATATATTATTTTTTTAATAAAAACTGAGTTTTTAAAAGCTGTAGAGTATATTTTAGAACAACTTTGAGACTTTGATTTAATTATACGTGAAGGCAAATGCTTATTTCCTCAAAGTCAAGAGAATAGCCTGTACACATCAAGAAAAGTAAGCTTCTATAAAATATTATGACACTTCTCTCAAAGACTTTCACAACTAGTGCCCTGTATTAGATGCAGTAGACGAAATATTTATCTCACATAAATTCAGTGTCTGGGATCCAATTTCAATTGCCAGACTCACTTTTGAAACTAAGTATCAGGGTTTGACAATGTCATTTTGAACAGCATAACTCAACAAGATTATGAAATGACTTTTAACTCCTAGATGCATTCTTAAGATGGAGCAAAGATCACCAGTTTCCACAAAGATTGTAATCGTGGCCATCTACGCAACAGAATCTGTCTTTTTATGCAATCCATTAGCTAGCATAGTAATCCATTGAAAATGAAGGTTGCCGCACTGACTGGCAAATGCTTTAGTATAGTCACCCTGTCTAGATTTATTCTACATTACTGCAGCTGTCCTTTAGCCTGTGATTGACTACCTTCTAATCTCTTTTTTTGCACTTGGTTAGAATAATCATGGCACTTTCTTGCTTAAAATTCTTTTGTGGCTTCTTGTTTGCCCATTAATAAAAGTCCTTTTATCCTCAATCATGTATACAAAACCTTCCAGTTGTACTCCTTACCTGACTAGCTCTCTAGCCTCCTCTCTCCTTCCATGATATTCAGTTCTAGCAATACTGAGCTCCTGGAGAGCTAGTGTTTACTTCTTCTCTTATTTTCTTTTCCTGAAAGTCATTCCTTCCCCCAGTCTATTATATTCCTGCTAGTTCTTCAGACTCCAGTTAGGTTACACCTCTCCAAAATTTGTATTTTGATTAGGTTCCTTTCTCTGGACCCCATCCCACAAACAAACAAAGCAAAACAGAAGACAATTAAAAACAACTTTGAGACTGGGCTTCTTGCTTCTATTGTGTGCTGGCATGTACCTTCATTAGCATACTGTAAATTTTTTGACCTCAGTTCATAATAATCTCATAACTACACAAACACAACTTCTATTCTCTCTTAAAGGCTCTCACAGGCCTTTATCAAAAATTCTCACCGGGCACACATGCCTGTAATCCCAGTGATTTAGGAGGCTTAGGCAGGAGGATTGCTAATTCAAGGCCAGCCTAGGCAATTTGGCAAGACCCTGTCTTAAAATAAAAATAAAAATTAAAAAGGGCTAGGGATGTAGCTCAGTGATAGAGTGCCCCTGGGTTCAATCCCTAAAATGGGAGGTGGGGGGCAAAAGAAAAGAAAGAAACACTAACAGTTTAATTTATTGAATGGTTAGGCCCAGATAACTTAATGAGTATTTATTGCCTAACAACTTAGTAACTGTTTGAGAAAATAATACACATAAACCAAAGTAACTTTCATTATAGATATCACATAGTAGTCCATTGTGTATACCATGATTTTTTTTTTTTTCAGTGTCCTACTTGGACACTTAAGTAATTTCCAATATTGTACTAAATTATAATGACTTTTAGAATTAAAAGTTTTGCATATGTATATCTTTGTATTGTTGGAAGCAAATCTTCAGGATAAATGCATATCGGTTTGTTAGATATTGCCAAATAC